TCACAGAGGTAAAACTTTGTCGTACCTGAGAAAATTTTCGATCGCCGATCTTTTGGAATACATTGGATTTAAACGGGTTTATAAGTAAATTGAAGGGCTTCTCCATTCTGTTAAAGTCCAAATTACTTATGAGAGACGACTTACTGCAGCTAAAACAAATGGATTTGCAACTTGGAAGAGTCAAAAGCGCAGTTTCAAAGATAATTTTTTGAATGATTTTGAGCATTGATGAGTTTACGGTACAATTATGTGAGAAGCATGAACTTTTGTTGATCTCAACAAAACTTTTGCAAGTTTTCATATTTTTGTAAGGAGGGAATCTTTCTAGATTTTTTAGATGAAAAGCGGAAAGTTAAAATTACAGAGAGCCTTACCTGACATGAGCAATATTCATCATTTTGAACTCAAAGTGACTCCATTTTTGTGAGCAACTAATGTAGGAACAAGGTTGTACGAGTCTAATTAACCAACAATGAACAAGCGCTCTTTTTAACAAGATTTTTCGCAAACGGAAAAACTTTTAATTTTGCTGGAACGGGTGAAAATGTGCTGGAATTAGAATCAAACAATTTGACAAAAATGAAACTGAACAGCACCACACAAGCCAGGTTTCACTTTCTTTTTTTGCAGGACACAAACAATATCGGGCTAGAGGATTTGGCACTTCTGTTGCTTGTAATGCTCATCTTGCTATACCATTCGAAAGTTTTTAAAAATTTTCGCACGAAAAAATATCGAAGAGTGTCTAAAGTGATTACTAGGAAAAACGGAGTGTCTGAACCAGCAGTGAAAAGAGTTTTAAAAAAACACTGGTTTAAATGGCAAGAAATTAAATTACTTGAAGAAAAAAGAACCAATGAAGAGTTCAAAAATTGAAATCTACATGTAACTCGGAAAAGTACGCAATTATTCGAAGAAAACAGCGACGCGCTGGAAATTGTACATTTTTTACACATAAAAATGATTGCTAATTTGTTGGAAGGGGCATCGATTTGTTTGTTTGTTTGATATGTTTATTGTTCCTACTTTCGATACAAAAGTAGCGGAATACTTGTGCTCGGGGTGGTTTTTTTTTCTTCAGAAAAATTTCGACTTTTTAACTAGCCATTTTTGACGGAATTTTTTTTTATCATTCGAAAGCTATTGTTGTCCTGAGCTTAAATTTGAAAAGATATTTCACATGTGATCATTTTTCGTAAAAAAATAAAGGCTTAATGTTTGCCATTTTGACCAATTTGGGACGATTAACGCGCGATATATTTCGCGCTATTAACGCGTAAGCGGAGATTTAGTCTGTCTTAGAAATCGTTCCAAATTGGTTGAAAGAAGCTTTTTCGCCATAATTTTTTTTTTCGAAAGTGACGGAATATTTGTGCTCGGGCTGGGTTTTTTTTTCTTCAGACAAAATTCGACTTTTTAACTAGCCATTTTTGACGGAATTTTCTTATATCATTTGAAAGGTATTGTTGTCTTGAGCTCAAATTTGAAAAGATATTCAACCTGTGATATTTTTCTCGCTATTAACGCGTAAGCGGATAGTTAACCCGTCATAGAAATTGTTCCAAAATGGTTTAACGAAGCTTATTTGCCATAATTTATTTGTTACAAGTAGCGAAAACTATCCTTTTGTACTTTATAGGGCGTGTGGTGTGATGATTTTTATAAAAAATTTCAAATTTTTGAAAAAAAAAATTTCATTTCGTTTTGTTATTTTTAATTTTTGAATGTTATTACTGCTCCATAAATCTTAATAGGCAGTCGGAACATTCAGGGCTTCGCCCTGATATGAGCAGTCTTGTTCCGCTTAATTGACCATTACGTGAATTTGAAATTTTGTGCGACCGTTGAAATTTCGATCAGCAGCAAAATTACTCAGAACAAAGGAAGCCAACTCTTCTCATTACCAATTGTTTGGTCTAGAACAGATTAAAAAGAAACGGAATCAATAGAGTTTATCAATAGCAAGTACACCAATTGGTACACAGGAAAATAAACGTCTACTCTTTAAAACAAGGTGGATTTGGTGCCTTAAGGGCTCGGAATACCATAGATAACTACCAACAGCACTTTTCATGTTTACTGATGCAACTAACGCACATCAGTTTTCCCATGAGTTGTTTTCTCACTCAAGGTCGCTCGAGCTTCACTTCTCCGCCGCGTATACAGCAAACAAGTAAATTTTTAATTGAAATTTAGGTTTATCCAATGGGTTCACTACATCCGACCAAAAAAATTACCGAGAGAGACCTATGCTTTTCAACAGTCTGCAAAATATGGATGTACTGCCCGCATCCAAGTTTAGGCGTAAATAATCGATTATAACGGATTATTATGATGATTTTTTGACAATTATAATCGATTATAATTACCAAAATTAGGTCCTTAAGGGATTTATAATTGATTATAATCGTGATATTTTCCAAGAGATTATAATCTCTTATAATCGATTATAATTGATTATAGTTCTTACTAAAAACCCTTAAAATCAATTATAATCGATTATAATCGATTATAATCTCTTATTTTGCCGGAATTTTTCTATTTTCGAATTGTATCTTATGGGTTATTATTTTTGTGTCAATAAGAAAATCTCTAAAAGAGAGATCTCTTGAACACTTTGGTTCATCTGAACACAAAGTTTTACCACGAAACAAAAGTTTCACAGAGATCCTGTCATATGACTGGAAAGTTTCTCGCGGTAGATGAAAGATAATTTTTCCGAATCAATCATGAAACTAAATCAATTTGCTGATGTTTTGGTGTTTTTAAAAGCTTAAAATATGCATCACAAAACAACTCTAATGGGGAAGAAATGGAAAAAAAAAATTATAAATATGAATTAAATGGAAAATTTTGAAAAATTTTCTCTCATTTTTCATAGGAACCAACGTCCACAAAAAGCATAAAATATAAGCAATTTAGATGCAACTTCGAAGACAAAAATGGACAAACAAAAGGGATTATAATCAATTATAATCGATTATAATGGATTTTTGTACAAAACTAACGAAATAGAATTTTGAATAAAAATAATGGATTATAATCAATTATAATCGATTATAATTGTATGGAAAAATAGACGAATAAATAATCGATTATAATTAATTATAATTAATTATAATTTGATTTGAAAAAAAAGAGATTATAATCAATTATTAATTGATTAAATCGATTGTTTCTCAATTTTAGTGAGACTGGTACTAAAATCGTAATATAATCGATTATTAACGCTTGAAACTGGATGCGGGTGCAGTTGCAAGATTCTTGAAGTACTTGCAGTAAATAACTTCCCTCTCAACTATCGAGTAACATCTAAATTAGCTGCAATGCTTAGAAATCCGATTTAAACATATATCACAATGATGCTGTCTCACTAAATGCATCCAAATTGTTGGTTATTGAAGAAACATTATGCGTTTTTTTTTCTATGGACGTTCGCTCGAGATTAAATTTGAAGTTTTTTACGTCTGACGTTTGATGTTGATCAATGTTGAATAAAAGGGACAGCTGAGTCATTGTTTTTTTTCATGCTGTTTTGTTTTTGAGCCATCGCATTCGTTTCGCTTGAGTACATTTGCGAATTTGTAAAACTTGATTTGGATTGTCTTGAAGTTTTTCTATAAACCAATTGAAACCAATTTGATGTAGACGTGGCATTAACCGATCTAAAAATTTCACACTTCTAGAATCAATAATCTTGGAGCTGCGTGTTTTAAATGCAGTTCGAAGCTTTTTAGTTAATTGTACTGTGAGTTTCATTGATTTATTAGCGCTTATAGAGATCCTCTTAGAACCGTCGTAAAACAGTTTTCCAAAGCGATGCAGAAGAATTGACATGATGAGCGAGCGTAATAAACAAATATTGATGAATTAAAAAAAAACACTTTGCTGCCACAAATGGAAAAATTTTGTAATCTCGCTGATTAAATGTCAATGATTCTGTTTGTTTTGAGAGAGACTATCTAGACTTTCCAAATGGTTACTTCATTCTTTTTTACGAATTCAGCAGAGCTTACCTTGATTTATAAAACTCAAAAAAAATTTTATGGAAACTCTGATGGTTGGCTAATTTAACCAATAGGAAGCTTCAAAGCCCATAAAGCTGCCAATAGGAAGCTTCCCCCCACGTGTGTAATTTTACCCCCCCCCACATGTGTAATTTTACCCCCCCTCCCCCACAAGTGTAATTTAGGAAAATGGTTGAAGCAACAAAGTTGACAAATTGGGTAATATAAAAACAGTAACAAAATCAAAGCTGCGCAGAAAAAGTTGAAACTGTACAACCGACGTCAGCTTAAAACGTAGAAAACGCTTTATGTGTTATGTGCATTGAATTTTGCAACTCAATTAGGTGAAAAAAGGTCGATTGTAATGGTATTATTTATTTGTATTCATGAAAGTAGAAATCAATCAATTATAATTGATATGCAATGGATTTTAATGCTTTATTAATTAGTAACAATAAAATCTATTTTTAATTGATCATAATCGATTGTTTTCTATCCAAGGAACTTCAGTGCGGGTACACTTATCATAACCCCCCCCCCCCCCCCAATGAAGCCAACATTCAAACACGTCCTCCCCTTTTTTAAAAGTATTCCACTCAAACTTTCGAACTATTTTTTTATTATTGTTATCCTTAAATGATCAATCAAAGCAAAGCATACTTTAATTGGTTATGAACAACTTTTTGCTTTTTAGAAAAAAACTATAATCCATTTTCAGAAGGAAGCAACTGTATAAACTAAAAATTTATAGCGACAGATTAGGAAACAACAAAATCTTCAAAAAAATTTTTCTAGGACCCTTGGCGTCACCGTCACACCAGGCCAAAAATGAGAAAACGAATAAAATTAAATGCTCAATCTGTAAAATTAGCAACGGTTTTGCTAATTATTTTTTTGATAATTAAATATAGCAAGCATGTGATCTTATTCATGATTTTTTTCATCTGTACTATAAGTCTATATGAAGGAACTTCACATATTTTTTCGTTTCAGGCAGTTGGGTGAAGCAATTTTATAAAACGACATCATTGCAAGCGGAGATTTTGGCCCATGAACTGGGCCACAATTTCGGACTTAATCACAACCCGACTGATGTAAACGACTCCTGTCGTTGTCCCTCTGGTGAACATTGTATCATGGATGCTGCCATCAACTCCTCTTTGTCTGCTACAGGGTTTACAGACTGTCAAAAGGCATCCATAAGAAATTTTATGGAACACGGTTAGATTTTGATGTGGTTTTTCGGAAAAAAAAATGTATTGTATCAAAAGTTTTCTTCAAAGAAATCGTTCAAGTGTGGAAACATTATTTAAAGTATATTCCGAACGCAAGTGAGCAAAGTATAAACACTAGTCCAAAATCAAGTTAGTTGCAATGAAAACTGACCGCATAGATCACAAGCCTAAAAAAAAACTCGAACTTGATTAAATTTAAAAAGAATAGCGATACAAACTCGAAATTGATTAAATTGAAAAAAAGCATTACAAACCCCTCCATGACCGCGATTGGGTTTTAAAAATTGTTGACAACAAGGACGTGTTTAGGGAGGTGAGGGCTTACGCCTCTTTTCCTAAGGGATTCAACCCCTGCAGACACAAAGGTTCCCCCCGTTGTACACTTTTGAGATATCCATTTTTGGTGACAGATCCTAAAAACTTTCTAAAGGTGCCTAAAGTGCGCGCCGAAAATGTAATTCTTCGGTCAACATTTTCCAAAAAGTGCCTAAAAAGCTTTTTAGCCTGTTTTTGAGCTTGAAAATTCAATTTGGTCGACCTTTAAAGAAGGTTGACAAAATTTCCAAAACTTTTTGAAAATCCGCTCCCCTTCGAGAAAATCTTAGATCCGCCCCTGGTTGGCGATGTTATTGTTTCCAATTCTGAAGAAATTGAAATTGCGCTCGGTGTGATAAATGTTAAAATTTTCTAAATTTATAATTGGTAACTTCCCAATTTTATGTCCCAATTAATTTTGATAAATGGCTACTTGGTTAAAATACAATCAAATGATTGTTAGTTTGAGCTTTATAAAATTTCTTATTGATTCCGTAGGTCTCAGATAAATTTCGACATTTTAACTAACATTTTTGACTTGACGTTTTTTATGATATGAGAAGTTTTGATGTTTTGAGCTCAAAATGGAATATTTAATTCATGTGCAACCAAATTAAAAACATATGCAAATTATGACTTAGCAAAATGGCCAATGTTGGACACAAAGAAGTTCGAATCAACTTGCTTAAATAAACATGCTTTAAAAAAAGGTTTTTCGAAGCTAAGTGTATGATCAAAAAAGAAATATCTTTTGAGATAGCAGATGAATCAGCATGACCTTGATATGGATTAAGTCATCATAGTACATAAAACCCGGCAAAGTTTGTGCAATGGTGATTTTTTCAAACATGTAATTTCTTAATACAATTTACTTTCTTCCCAATGTATATGGTCAAAGAGCAATGTAACTTGACTTTATGAATCAAACTTCATACGATGAGGCAGACTTCCAACGTTTTCAGTGTTGGACATTTTACATGTTCATGCTTAAGGTCAACTACTGTTTTTCAGCTACCAGATGATTTATAACAAGATATTGATGAGTGAAACTACATTTATCGATGACAAGTTTGATCAAAGTTAAACTTTTGAATTATAGTTTTTAATGCTGAGCAGCTTTCATGTTCATGTTTATGGTCAAAAAACGGTTAATTTTTGAGATAATGCTTTTTTCTTGAGATGATGCATCATGCTACTACTTAAAAAACTTGAACAATGACTTTTTTAAATGGCTTTTGATGCTCAGCAACTTCCAGGCTCATGACCATAGTCCAAAAATCCATGTTTAATGAGTTATTATTTTTGATCCAGCTTCTTACAGCACCTAAAGGTAATCTCCCTCCCTTTGATAACCGCGATTGAGCTCTTCTACTACTCGGTAGTAGTTTTGCTTAATTATTGTCAAAAGTGACATATTTGGGGCAATATTTAGGGTGTTAATTTTGCAAAATTGAGCATCCAAGTTTTTCTTCTTTGTTCCGATCAATTATGATTTCACTGCAATAATTAGGTCCTGTATCAATGTATGATCAAAATTTTATGAAAGTTTAGAATCATGTTGTCTTGGTGGTAGAAGCGATCCTAATTTGATAACATTAAAGGTTAAAAAGGCGGTGATAAATAGGAGTGAGTAATTGAAACTGCAAAATAGTTTTCTGTTGATTTTATGGATTTATTGATTGATGGCATGGATTTAATATGTAGGACACCTGAAAATATGCAAAAGTTAAGCACTTTTTTATTTACTGAAACAAAATTTTTTGATTTGTTAATTGTGTTGTTGAATAGTTTTCCTTGCCTTTGATTTGAACTTTTTGTATAGGGAACTCGATGTGTTTGCACAATGAGCCTGTGCAACAGATAGACGCCCCCTTCTGTGGGGACTACATTGTCAACACAGAGGAAGGGGAGGAGTGTGATTGTGGGGGAGTGGACACGTGCGATGACCCCTGCTGTCACCCTCACAACTGTACCCTTGTACCAGGTAGTGAAGTGAAGGTCGATGTTCAAGCTAAACAAATTGTAGAATCAACCTATTTCAGGTTGAAATCAGAATAAGATAACATGGAAAGACTGACAGTTTGAAAACTTTCCAAAAAGTTATGTGACCTCAATTTATTTTGAATCAGAAAATATTTTGAAAATTTCTTGAGAAAAAGTAATTAGAAACTTCAGATCATTCACAATTATGAATGAATAAACAAAATGCACTGAGAAAATCAAGTTGGACCTCTATACGAAAATAATGCTTAATATAAAATTCCTTTAAGAGGGTCTATGAAAAATGCTTATTATACATTTTGCATTTATGCAATTTATAAGAGCATCATTTTTCCATACGAACAACAACTATTGCAAAGTCGTGCAAACTTGTTTTTTTTTAAATATTCAGGTCAAAAATGTCAATTAAAACGGACAACAACAAATTTGCAAAGTATGGAAAAAATGCTTCTCATACAATCAAATTTTTTTTTAAAATGCTAGTCTTACACTTTTTTATGAAAAAATAGCTAATCATGCTTTTTATACACTTTTTTTCTACAGAATTCTTTGATCCACATTGCTTCCATAAAAAAAATGTACTGTTCATTCAAAAACTGATTTTAGATGTAACTAGTCTTCTTATAACCTATCCAAATCTTTAAGTAATCTGAAGATCTAAGTAAAAAGTGTCGGTAAGAAAAAAAAGTCTATCAACTAAAGTTTATCTAAAAAATTGTCAACTTTTGAGGCTCAAGAAGCAATTTTTCAATAGAAAGTTTTCTGAGACCGAAAACAAAATATACATATCTTTCATTTTTCAACAAAATTGTTGTTATAAGAGAAACAAAATGACAAAGTATCTGAACAAGACAAAATTTTTTTTGATAGATATCAAATTAATACATATCAAATTCAGAGTTAAATTCAAATTTGAGATGAAAACTTCAAAAATAGTAAGCTGTGATTAACCTTTTGGTATTTTTTTCTTACATTCAAACCTTTAAGCAGATTTTGAAAACTATTATTCATGCAAAAACAAGATTTTTGTTCAAACATATTTCATGAAGAACTTTTGAAGCAAAATTTGAGAAAAGTATCAATAATTATCTTTGAGAAAAATTAACTTTGAGAAAAAGTATCAATAATTAATTTTGAGAAAAATTTGAGAAAAAGTATCAATAATTTGTATTTTCTGTGAAACGAATTGATGACAAATTTTGTTGTGAAAAAAATGCAAATTTGTATATATTATTATAACATAAAATTAGGCACACAGATTTTGCACAATTCGATTGCAGATAAAAAAAACTATACAGCCTCAAGAATCAGTTTTTTGGACTTTTTTTGTCTGTAAAGAAAGTGAAACAACGCCAAAAGTAGATGCGAAATATTCAGATTTTATACAGTTTTTTTCGAGAGAGATCATATGAAGCAAGAGGTAATACTGTCGAAATTTTACAAATGTCAAACAAAAGTTTTGCTCAGAAAATTTTTACTTCAACCAAGTTAGCGTCAAGATACAAATGCTGATAAAAACTTGTCAAATTCCTAAATCGGATTGTAGGTCTAAACTGGATTTTGAATGCTGAAAATACATTAAAGGGAGCATTTGATTTTTAGCCTTTTTGAAAACAATATTTTCTTTTTTAAAACGGAATGATGTTTGCATGCCGCTGATTGATTGGTACGAAATTTATCTCTGCGGCTTACAGCGATGATGCAAAGCCCGGTTTTTTCGCAAGTCCTTGAAACTTTTGCAAAATAGAGGCTCATTTAACACTTTCAAAAGTTTTGACAACACTAGTTACCAAATTGCAAATGCGTTACTTTTTGTCTAGACTTCAATTTTTTTGTAAACTAGTTTTGGCGAAAATGCAAATTGAAAAAAAAACACAAAAGGTTAGAAACATCGAACAGATGATGTGAGGTGCAGAATTATTGTGGTACACAAAGGTTTTCTAGATATTTCTTGAGAAGGTAGGATAAACTTTGATTTTTTAAAAATTAAAATGGTTTCCTGAGTCATCCTCGAACACTGAAACTTTAATTAAAAGACACAGTTTTTCGCAAAATTTATAATAATTTTTTGAGCTCAATTATTGCATTATTTCATCTGTATCATCTATGTCTGCGCCTGACAGATCTGATTCACACCCCCAAACAGTTTACAATTTGATCAGAACTTCCAAATTAAATTCCAAAAGAGTTGGTTTACTTTTCTGGCTATAGTGGTTACCCAGCTGCAAACTAATTTTTGTTGTCTAGATTTCTATCTTGCCTTGAATCTTTTTTGGAAAGTTGAAAGATTGCTCGCAGGGGCAGATGAAAATTTTTTGAGAGGGCGGATGCTCCAAAACATGAAAATTTTGTTTAAACTTCTTCATCGCAGTCTTATATCAACGTTAGCTCATTGTCATCCTTAAGTTCATTTCATATGACAAATTGATCTTTTCAGGTAAAAGGCTCGTTTTTTTTGTAGAGGATACGTTTCAGTCAAAGCTAGCTTCCAAGTAAAAACATGACAATATCGAGGCAAAGCCGATAAAAGTCAAGACATGGTCTTAATGTTATTTAATCAAGATTTTTTACTTGAGACAGACCTCGTGATAAAAAATAATGTTATACAGGTAGCGTTAACGATTACCAACTTCAGGCCAACAGAATACTAGGATTCAAATTTTTGTGCGAATATTTTTGATTGATCAACATGAAAAAACTAACAAACCACTTCATGATTTTTGGCATTCAAACATGGTTCCAACTAGAATATGTAAAGGCGGTGATTAAGCGGCAAATTTTTGTTACTAGGCCTCACCCAGGTAATTCGATGCTAAAATTATTCACAGCGCTATGCCAAATTTAACGATCAGCGAGTAACAAATACTTTTTGCCTTTAAGCTTTTGCGTAAATAACTTAGCGATTGAAAAACCACTTTGGCCATGTCTTTTGGCAAAACTATCATAAATCATGCTACCTTGTACAATGATTTTTGTCCTTAAACTACTTGTATAATGATCACTGCTCATTTTCAAGGAAATTGCATGCCCCAATTTTTTGTAATCCGCCAGAGCTATCCAGGTGCATCATGTTCGGCCATGGATCTCTGCTGCAACCCTGCAACCTGTCAAGTTCGCAGTGCTGGAATCGTCTGTCGAGCCGAGAGCAACGACTGCGACGTAGCCGAACAGTGCAATGGAACCAGCGCCGAGTGTCCGAATGACGACTACAAGAGAGCGGGCACACATTGCACTGCAGATGGAGCATCGGGACACTGCTACGCGGGAAGTTGTCGATCTGTTTACTCTCAATGTCTACAGTAAGCCTAATCAAAACGGGTTACTTTCCCCTTCACGTCAGATAAAGCATCACGGTGATGGTTCAAGGTTAATTAAAAATACTAACCCTCACTGGAGTTTCATGGATATTAATCGATTGTATTGGATTTTCCTTGTCAGTCTCAATAAAAGTCAAATACAACCCATTACAATTGATCAAAAAGGAATTAAAACCTCAGCATCTTTTATATCAATATAATCCATTACAATAGATTAAAATGGATTTTTTCAATGATTTTTGATGAATTTTTTTCCAAACTTATTTCATTTCCTGTTTATTCCTATTGCTACGTTTTACGTTTCATAAGCTGTTACTTTTCACTTAATATTCTATGTTTCAATTTTTCTCTACTTTTTTTAATTTTTAGTTTGAAATTTCTTGGATTTGTCATAGCATTGCAAAAAAATGCAGCAAGCTTAGTCAACATTATTTCGGCAGAAAACAAACGAGCATCTATAATCGATTATGTTGTCCAATATTTGTTTCATTGAAAATACATTATAATCTATTATCATCCGTAAGACTCCAGTGCGGGAAAGGTTGTTGTGTGCGGCTAATAAATAGACAAAAGTATAAGTAGACATGTCATTAAGCATACAAAAATTTTGGATTCGATATCCGCGAAATCAAAAAAATTAGTTTCCAGACCTTTCTTGAAACTATTGTTTTTCGCCAACCCCTTTGGATGAAAAAATTGGAAATGTTGGCTTCTTACCGACCTGACTGCTAACACGGTTGTCTAGTAATTTGTAAGTAGTCATTGAATGTACTTAGATTGGCTCAACTTAGTAGCGTTTAAAATTAGTAGCACTGAAGACAAAATCATATAAGTGATTTTTGAGCCACAAAGTGTTAACCAAATTGCGTGAAACAAATTTTTGCAAGTTTCGTAATGAGTCTAAACTAAATTCTCTTTGTATATCATAAAGTTTTATTGCCTTCTTGATAGGTTTACTCAAATTGATTGACTTTTCGTAAAGCGAAAGTGTGTCATCGTGTACAAGTTCATGGTCAGAAAAGCGTTCAACGTGATCTATCGAAGTTACGGAGAAAAAGAGCAAAAAGGGGTCATGCAACTTCTTCCTTGTCGCTGCATTTCATAGAAATCTTCCTACTCCCCTCTTACTCCCATTTCACGTCTCATGATCAATATTACTTTTTTCTGAAGCATAAAATAATATATATATATATTTTTGAAAACTGAATTGTTTCATCAGAGCATTTATTTGAACTCATTAAGAGCATTTTAGGAGTATTTTTTTTGTTAACGCTCAGTTTTGGTTTTTCACGGTTTGAGTTTTGATTTATTTTTAAGTTCACTTCATTTCCTTTATTAAAGCAAGGCAAACTCCACTATCAATCAGCAAAAGTGCAAAGGTAACAAAAAACGTGATGGACTTCTAATTTAATCCAGATTTCCCTGTTAAAATAAAGATTATACTGATTGGTCCTGTTTTCTCAAATAAAGTTATTTTGTCAAAAAAGCACCAACCATAAATTGTTCGTGAAATTCAAAAAGTTTAGGAGGCATATATATTTTTTTAAACTTGAAACTTGAGGTTTCTCAAAAAACAAGTCAGTGTTTTTTGTTTCCCTGCGTTCAATATTTTGCAGGTGTCAGTTGGCTGTGTTTAAATTAAAAAGTATATCCATAAGTCAACAAAAAATTTAAAATGAAAAAATATCCATTATCAAAAAATCAAAACTAGATTGACTGAAGTTTTTACAGAAGTAAGCTGAATTTTTACTGAATGAACAGAAAACAAGGGACTGATTTAATATAAACTCTCCCTCCCTTTTATTAAAAAAATTAAAATATATTTATAATAAAAATTTTAGGTGACTTGTGTGAACTGATTGATTTTAGGAGCTATATTGTTTTAGTTCAAATAATTGTGATACAAAGGCGCTAAGCATCAGAAGTTAATTTCTTTTGAACATCATTTTCATTATCGGCTTATGAAACACGGGCATGCGGACCTTTATAGGTAACACTGTTGATTTGTTTTCACTTTCAATGAATGCTATTCAAAACTCAACGTTAGAAAAAACTCGGAAGGCACTGAAACTGAAATAATTTATGATCGTAACTTTGTAAACACGTTTATGTTAAACAAGGGACAAATATTTTTGACCGTGCATTGTAGTTGAGTTATGAGACCAAACTTAACTCTGTACCAAGATCATTGACCAACATTCATTTTAAAAAATAGCAATTTAAAGAATTTAAACTGAGTTTTTAATAAAAAAACTGAAATATATAATTTAATCTGTACAATAACAGTACTAAGAATACAACAAACGTTACAGCTAAACGTTTGTACATGTTTTATCACTACAGCAGATATGTGCATCAGTTTTTTAATTCATTGAAAATTTTTACACCTTTAGTTCACTTTGATCTGCGTTAACCAAATAAAAACTCGCGTGGATAGGAAAAATTGCCTACGTTTTTGATTAATTTTAGCTATAATTTAAGCTGCAATTTCCCGGAAAAGCTTGAAAACCATTCCTTGATATATGAAATAAAACGAGCTATATGTATCTTTTTTCAGTTTGTAGTTTTTATAAAGCAAGATCGTTATTTTCCATTGAAATTAGGTTAATTTCATGTTTTTGCCTTCTTAGCCTTTTTCACTGACTTTTTGTATTCAATTATGACCCAAATTTGCCTTTTGCACATAAGAATAGTTTTGTTGAATTTACGGCACTGTAAAATGGCAAGAGAATTCAAAATTTGGTTTGTGAATACAAAACTGTTCTACCAATATGGGTTCTTCAATCGATCTGTTCACTTTTTGTTGTATCAGAATTTACGATCCCACGGGCTTACGAACTGACTCAGCCGAACGAGACGAATGTTGGAGTTGGAACACAAGAGGCGATAGTTTTGGAAACTGTGGTTCTACTTTTCATGAGGACCTAACTGCGTGTAGCCAAGAAGACCAGAGGTAATTCTTTGGATAAAATCCGCTCAAAAAATTTGAATCCATAGTTTTTTCCTTAATATCAAAAAGTACAACGCATAAAAGCTTTAATATCGGCGGCTATATCGGATGTTTTTTGCTGAAATTTCCATAGTTTTTCAATCCATAGTTGTTTCCTTGATATCAAAAAGTACAACGCATATATGTGTTAATATCGGCGGCCATATCGGATTTTTTTTTGTTGAAAATTCCAGTAAAACTCTGATACAAGCCCTAAAAGCCCAATTTGAAGTGCAATCTAAATTAATTTGGCTCATATTTTGGCATTTCATTAATGCTACACGCGTAACGCCGGATTTTTTCAAACGGAATTTGTGACAGCCAGATTTTTCAGAAAAACGGTTTGCGCAGAAAATTTCGACAGATAAACGTCTTTGAAACTGGTCAAATTTTAAGAATATCACGTTTTTTCATGCGAGTTTGAATACTGAATTTTGATTTGACGAAACAACTTTCCGGCTTCCCTTTAAGCACTATTTTATCCAATGGCTGCAACACAAAAACTACTAAAGTTGACTACTTAGTTGAAAGATGAAGTTCATCGAAATAAAACATATGCGAGGATCAATATTCTGATATTATTCAGATATCGGAAAAATATTGGTTTAAGGTCCGGTGTGGCCTTCTCATAGAGTATTTTTGGATAGGGTACACCGTCTGTTCGTCACGCTATCTTATTTTCGGCGGGATAGATTCGTGCAACTTCTTAGTCTAATAACAATCTTACTCCTACTCTTATATCTCCTAGTCTCAATAGATTTAGTATAACCTGTGTTTTTGCGAGGTATGAGGAGAGAAAGAGGCAACTGCTTCCTAAGCTGTATTATTTATTCTCTGGCTGAAACTAAGAATCGAGATGACCATTGTTCTGCGGCAATTAATTCCTTTTCTTCTTTATCAACGCCATGCTTTATATTCAGAGAAACTTGAGACTGCGGCAAACAAAACGAGAAGAATTGCCATTCTAAAGTCTAAATTTCGTCGAGTGATCAACTCTCTTTGCTGCTCGTGAAATAACAAATTTTTTTCTGCAGTGTAGTTTATTCAGTTTTAGTTATGAGGTAGCTAGTTGTTTTCGCAGAAGGTTTTTTTAAGCTGGGTTATTTGAAGATTTGCTCCTACTGGAGCCAATCTCAGCAAAACCAGAGTGCGGTGTCTAAGCGTGATTTAACTTGGTTGGTGAGGCAGGCTATATAGCTTGTTCAGTACGTCCCAACTGGTGGTTAGGCCAGTTGTGAGAGTATACCTGAGACTGTTTTATCGAGTAGAAGGTTCTTTTGATTACAGCCTTTTGTTTCTTTAAACCTGGTGATTTTGTCAAACATAATTTGTGGTTTCCACTTAATTACATTAGCTTATCCATGATTCGTGTCAACCTGGGGCGTACTAGAGATGCGTGTGGTCTGAAATAAAAATCGGTTTTGTTTTTCGAAAGAATAATTTATCCAATTTGTTCTAGTTTGAACTTTTCTCTACATGCTGGTTGTGCGGGAGTTCTATTCATGGTTTTTTCAAGGGTTATTAGCATCAGTGTAGGACGAACTAGAGTTGGAAGAAAAGGTAATGACGCGAAGTCGGACAATCATGGGTGGTGTGGAAAAACTAGTGGCTGGACTGGGTTGTGATTCGGAGAGGGTAGAATACCATTGAGATAATGGAAAGAGGGTGGGCGTTTAATTTTCATGCCAAAAGTGAAAACTAATAATAGTGTTTCCACAGGTTGGATAAAATTATGTGCGATAATCATGAGTATATATTTGTCGGTGATCAAAGATGCAGTAGTCTCCGGCAAAAAAAAACATTGGGCTGACGGCAGCTAAATTCCAAAGATAGCCCTTCATTTTAGTGCCTTTATTACATTAAGCTGAATATTGATTAGTAATATAACTAGGATAACTGAAGAAGTTTTTAAAAAAGTAATTAGTTTTCGCTCAAGCAGTTTGATCTGTTTGGAACATTATGTCGTTTGACTGGTCGACCTTCCCAATCAAGG